AAAAAAAAAAAAAAAAAAAAAAAATGGAAAAGAGATTTTGAATGGAAATTCTTGGATTCTCTATAGTATAGGAATGAAGCCATTTCTAAAGTACTCTGTGTTTGATTAAGAGGGGTTAGAAAAAGGTATAGAAAATTCACAGCCCACAGAGAGCTAAAATCAAGGATTTTCTGTGGTGAAGAATCAGGGTCAGGGACTCCTAATGAAGCCTTTTTACATCAGGATCTGGCAGACAGAGTTGGTAGACTTTGCAACCACACGGAGAATTAGGCCATCTCTGGAAGAACAAATAATTAGAAATCAGATACTCTTTCTTGATCAGGACAAAAGGGATATCTCAACAAAGGAAATCGTAGTTAAAACATTTCACTCAGCAAATTCTGCAACTTCTTAAAAGGGGAGAATTTTAAATCATGGAGTAACCCAAATTAATTAATAGTTGCCTACCTAGAGCCCCCAAATTTTGTTTGCATTAGAATTGTAATGTTAAACTATTTTTTTCCACCTCAATAAATCTTCAAATTTTTGCCAGCTGGGCCTTGATATGTACTATATTCACTAAGGAAATATCTCATGACAAGTGATTATATCTTAATTCTTATATGAGCTTCAAGGGTAAAATTCTCCAAACAGATTAATGCAAAGAGCAGGAGCAAAATATTTTTTAACTAAATAACAGCTTTCTCTTCTTTCTCTACCCCTCTTTGAAAGCAGTAATCTTTATTTAACTTGGGGATATAATGTTAGGGAATAATGTCAAAATACTGACATATTATATCACTAGAGGCTCAATGCATGAAATGTGTGCAAGAGTAGGCCTTCCCTCCCCTGGCTGCTGGCCCCGGCTTTCCTCTGGCAGATGGGACTGGGGCTTCCCTTGCAGCCCCGGCTTCATCCAGAAGGTTGTCTGGTCTAATTAGTATATTATGCTTTTATTATTATAGAGTAGAGGCCTGGTGCACAAAATTTGTTCAGGGGCGGGGGGGGGTGCCCTCAGCCCAGCCTGAATCCTCTTGCAATCTGGGACCCCTCAAGGGATGTCCCACTGCCGGTTTAGGCCTGATCTCTCAGGGGTCCCTGCGGGATCAGGCCTAAACTGGCATTCGGACATCCCTCTTGCAATCCAGGACCACTGGATCCTAACCACTTGCCTGCCTGCCTGCCTGATCGCCCCTAACCACTCACCTGCCTGCCTGATTGCCCCTAACTGCTCGCCCGCCTGCCTGATTGTCCCTAACCACCTCTGCCTTGGCCCCCACCACAGTGGCTTCGTCCGGAAGGACGTCTGGAATGATGTCCAGAAGGTCGTTCCACTGTCTGGTCTAATTAGCATATTATGCTTTTATTATTATAGATATAGATAGCCAGTCATCCAATGGAAAGGTCCATTCAATACTGAATGAGTAAGCACACTATGGTACATCCATACAGGGAATACTCAGCAATGGAGGGGGGCCTGATCGCCCCTCACCCCTTTGCCTGCCTGCCTGATTCCCCCGAACCACCTCTGCCTGCCTGCCTTCCTGATCACCCCTAACCATTCTGTCTGCCTGCCTGATCACCCCTAACCCCTCTGCCTGCCTTCCTGATCATCCCTAACCACTCGCCTGCCTGCCTGATGCCCCTAACTGCCTCTGCCTTGGCCCCCTGCTGCTGCGGCTTCGTCGTCAGACATCAGTTTTCAACCTGTGGGTCATGACCATCAGAAAACACATATAGCATGTCAGATATTTACATTATGATTCATAACAGTAGCAAAATTACAGTTATGAAGTAGCAACAAAAATAATTTTATGGTTGGGGGTCACCACAACATGAGGAACTGTATTAAAGGGTTGCGGCATTAGGAAGGTTGAGGACCACTGGTCCAGAAGATCATTTGGCTGTTTGGTCTAATTAGCATAGTATGCTTTCATTACTATAGATTGTATTCACTATTTTAAAAGGGCAAAATCTTTCATCAAGGATTTTTAAATGAGAAAATGTGTTTATGTCAGTGTCTTAAATTGAATGATCAAAGCCTAAAGGTTTAATGATGGAAGCCTGTGCTACCTGCCTGCAAGATGGCACCAATGATCCCTGACTCCTGGTGGTCAGGTCCTTGCATAGTCTCCTCCCACATTGAATTGGATTTACCTGTAACTTTAAAGATATTTGGGGAATGACATTGTATAACTTCCAAGGCTACATCATGAAAGACATGACTTTCACCATGTTCTCTCTTGGATGCTTGCTCTGGAGAAAGTGATAACACTTAAGAGATTCTAGACTGTAGAGCAGGGGTGGGCAAACTTTTTGACTCGAGGGTCACAATGGGTTCTTAAACTGGACTGGAGAGCTGGAACAAAAGCATGGATGGAGTGTTTGTGTGAACTAATATAAATTCAAAGTAAACATCATTACATAAAAGGGGTCGGTCTTTTTTTTTTTTTTTTTTTAGTTTTATTCATTTCAAACTGGCGGTAGTTTGCCCACGGCTGCTCTGGAGAGATCCTCATGGCTGGGAAATGAGATCTCCTCCCAACATCCGTGTGAGTGAGCCATCTTGGAAGAGGATCTTACAGCCCCGCTCAAATCTTCAGATAAATGCAGCCCTGTCATCATCTATTCCAATCTCATGAGAACTTGAGGAAAGCTGTTTCTAGATTCCTGACCCACGGAAACTGCTGAGATAGTACACGTTTATTGTTGAAAATCACTAAGTTTGGGATCATTTATTACTTCAGCAATCTATTACAAAGTCTTTTTCTCCCCCAAGAAATACTAATTGCAAAACAAATGAATACACCCCTTTTAGGGCATTTATAAAGTTGATCGCTTCTGTGGTCACTAGTACTCAATGAGGCCTTCTCTCAAGGAATTTGCCCTTTAGTTCCTTGTGTCTCAAAGTGTTGTACCAAGACCAGCAGTATTGGCATTATCTGGGAACTTGTTAGAAATACAGAATTACAAATTCTATCCCAGGACCGAATCAGGATCTGTATTTTATGAGATACCCCCAGTACATGTAAGAACATCTAAGTTTGAGAAGACGCCCCGATTTGACTCCTAATGGAAACCCTAGTTGTACATTACAAGCACTTGAAAAACATTATTGGAGAAGCTCATCCCCAGAAATTCTTAATGAATTGGTTTGGGTTGAGGTCTATCATGGCTGTGGTTCTAATTATCAGAATTTTCCTCCCTCAAAAAACTACATTGAAGCCTCAGATCAGCTCTGACTTCCCAGCATGCTCCAGTTCTGGTTCTAGAAGTCAGGGATGCCCAAGTATGATCCGGAAACTGCCCTGAAGGAACAATGGGTACAAGTCAGTTTGGATTCGCATTCTAGGGCGACTCAGAACTAGGTGCCGAATAATCCAAGGTTTCAGGGTAGCTTACACATGTATCAGAATACAACCAAACATTTTTCAGTTTCATCGTTCCTGGATGGCAAAAGGTTGGCAACTAAGATTCTCACAAGCCTTTGGAAAATATGCTTTACTGTTGACCAGACACTACTAAATTAAGATTTCCAATATGATGGGTGCTTACAAATCTTCATATTTACCACTATGTAGTAAATAGCTTAAATTGGCAACACTAAGTACCACCTGAATGTAAGAGGTGAGGGAGGAGAGTGCAGGGACTAGGGATTGAAGGTTTCTAAATTTTTTATTTTTATTTTTACTAATGCATCCCCAGTGACGGAAACACAATACCTGGCACACAGCATGCTCTTAATTAATAAGTATTTGTAGGTTAAATAAACCCCTCAAAAACCAATGACTTCTGATAATTCATGCATTCTAAGTCACTGAATGTGCCAAGTTAGTGAACCTCCAGTGGAAATTGTGGAGGTTGTTCTACCAAAGAATGTCTAAATAAAGCTCTAAATCCTTTAAAAATTGAAATGTGTGCCCTAACTCAGTGCCATATTTCAAATGTCTTGCCTAATTTGTCCTGGATTCCTCTTTTGGAGGCTGCCTGAGGGATGTGATCCCTGCCCTTGAATCTCCTTCCTTTGTGGGTTTTTTTTTTTTGCCTGTGCGTACACATTTCCCAGGCCGAGGAGCGCATGCTGCGGCTGCGCCCATTGGCGCGTGTGCACGCGGGCTTGTAGCTGTCAGATGAACCGGGCTGCCTAGGACCCAGGGGGAGCCGCTCCTCGCG